GTAATTTTTATCAAACATGGCATATATCGACAGCGATCACCTCGCGGATGTTTTAAGTTGTCTTGTAATTTCACTGACAATTCATCAAAACTTTTGATTGACATTCTAAAGTAATTAAAAAATGTTTCTTCATCTTCACGCAATAATGAATATAAAGTAGTAAATTCCCCTTGAAATGCTCTTTTGGCGACGATTGGGTGAACCTGATATCTACGTCTTCTGTTCCTTATACGTTTACGAACATAGTAAGCAGCAATTAAACATTTAACGCGTCCATTTCGTGTACGTGTTTGTGACTGTACCAATCCGGCCAGTTTTGTTGCTCAGGAGAGCTCTGAACGCTACAAACTGACGATCGGTTATGCGTATCGTCAGGACCGATGGTACACACTGACGGTCGGGCGAGCTCTAAAACCGGCCTTAAGTATACCGTCCCCACAGTACGTTTGCACTGAGAAATATCCAACACGTAATGTTTTGAAACAAATCGCATAAAATAAATCACACAACATGTTTTGTTGATGGTGGCGTTCACACTCACAAAAACTGTGTAAAATTTTGATGACAATATTTCTGCAAATTTGATATCAAACATTTTGTTTCTGTAGTTATAAAGATATAATATAGTTAAAATATGTAATGTACAATAAACTGTCAAACATATTTCACTACAACATGTTCTTCGACTATGCAAACGCTTTTTGATACATTGATAGAAAACAGTGTTTAAAACATGCTTTTTGTGAAAATCGCGTCAGTGCAAACTCATGGTTAGACCGATTTAACAGTTATATGGTTGATATATATTAAAAATGTAAAGCAATTTTTGCTTAGTTGTGGGACATAATATAAAAGAACATTGCTTGAGTCTATATTTTAACATATTTGTATTAAGTCAATATAAGGCAAATTAACGCATTACAATTCGATGGATCCCAACGTTCCTTAAATATTTTAGCGTAAAATATCAGGCTAATGCGGCTGTGTTTCGTATGGCGACTGTAGAGAACCAGAGATCCTTTATACTGTTATCGACGCATTCTATCGTAGTCCTCAGGGATGACAAATTTTCGTTCTCAATCGAGGATAAATGTGGGCGTCTATAAGCCACAGCATGTATTTACCATCAGGTAGATTGTGTTCAAATTTTATTTATATTTTCAATGTTCGAAGAGAAAATTTTGTAATATCTGAAAATTAATTTGTTTACAATGGAAAAATATATTTGAATATGTATCTTCTAATACAAACGTAGATATATATAGATAGTCGTATAAAATTTAATTTTCTTGTTATTTTAATTGGGTGTTATAAGATGTAATTGTCAATGTAAGGCGGTTACGTAGCGCAGTTCCTAAGCATCGCATCTTGGTGATATATTACCTATTTTAAGTATTAAACCAAAGGAGACGGCATCGCAAGGTATACCCCTCTGTAAAAGTACGAGAATCCGAATCATAGCCGTTATATAACTAGTTGCTCCGCGTTGTTTGCCATTCCGCGAGTGATCGTGCCAGACATATACAATATGTAACGTAATTAACGCACACCCTCAGACACCCCAATTAGTATATTATGTTATAATCATAATACATATACTGAATTTTTAGTTATTTTTTGCACTGATTATTTATCAAGTAGTTATACTAATCCCGGAAGAATGTTGTGGTCACAGTACAAATCCACGAACGCAAAGACGTTAACGTGCTTGAAATAAAGTACATTTTTCTTTATTTTTATTGAATGACAGAATTAGTAATAATACAAATAAAACTGCACTCTTAAAAGTCTTATTGCCTTAAGTTACGGTCCATTTCAGTTTGTTTTGACTGAACAGATTTAGTGTGACTGTAATTTACGTAGTTTTAATTATTTTTGGGATAAAAAATTACCTATATTAAAAATGATAGGAATCGATTCAGTAAACGATTCTGAACAAACTACTTTCTCAAAGTGCGTTAATTATGTTACATGTTGTATAACTAGTTTTTAAAGTATTTAAAGTAAGTAGGTTAGTGTTCCGCCACTTAGCTAACCTAGGAAGGCCTTCTTCAGCAGATCTACGAACAGATTGCCAGGAGTCAAAGAGAAGCCAAAATTATTGTACCTTGACCATGGACGAAATGAAAATTAAGCAGTTCATAAAATACCATGCTAGCAGCCAAAGGCATTATGGCTATGTCAACTACGGGTTTGATATTATATCCCATAATTTCGATGAAGCTACTGACGCATTAGTGTTTTATTGCTCGGTATAAACACGTGGAAAGTACCCATAGCCATCTTTTTAAATAAATTTGAATTACAATCTGTGTTTGATCAGTCTTTCAAAAACTGACGATAATTATGTTTTTACTAATAAAGTTATAATTTTATATTACACTAAAAAGCCCTTCACTGCTGGCCGTATGAGGAAGCTCGAAAGTCGCTCAGCGAGCTACGGAGACGGCTATGCTCGGGGGTTTTTGCATGATAAACATAGAAATAAGGATATTCAGTAGAACCAGAGAGACCGACATAGCGCAACGGATTAGAAGCTAAAGTGTCAATGGGCCAGCCATATAACACGAAAAACCAACAAGCGATGGTAAAAAAGGTTCTCTAATGGCAGCCTCGTACTGGTGGGCGAAGTGTAGGGCGAGCCCCCAATAGATAGAGTGATGACATTGTAAGACATGCAGGAAGCCGTTACCTTGGGGGAGGCTTATGTTCAGAAGTGGACTTGTGAAGGGCTGTAATGAATAAAAAAACACTAAAAATCGCTTTTACCAATGATGACTTGTTTATCGATAAACATATCGACGTAGTCCTCGCCCTACGTTGCTTACGCATGTAGACAGCGCAGATGCACCAGTATGAAGGTTAGAGAACAGGAGAACGATCACTACGTACTAAAGCATAGCCCGCCTGTCCTTGAAAATTGTAGAATGTATAGCGGCGCTGATGTTGGTGAGTAGTAACTGCGAAGTTAGCTGTTTATGAGTCAAGTAGATGAAGTTAGTTGAATAATGTACAAATTTTAATTTCATTTTTAATGAGAAAATTTTCATGCTCCGTAATTTTGTAATTTTTAACGACATTAAAAAATGGAGAAATATTTTATTGTGCGTGGATGTGCAAGTGGTTGAGCATCTGATCGGAAAAATAGACTGAAAATGACTTTTATTAACCGAACCTCGAGCGATCGCAGCGCCTCACTTATGGTGTCCATATTTCTGGACACTATTTTCTACGGTGATCGTTCTCCTGTTCTCTAAGCTTCATGGGCACCAGTGTATCGACACGTGTACAATTTGATGGTATGCGTAAATGCAATAAACGAAAACACAAATGCTGTAGTGTGCGTGTATAGTATAGTGACGCGATTTAATTTTGCATTTGTATTGAAGTTTACAGTAGTGTGTTTTCCTCGCCTACCCCTGAAAGTGACAGACTTTTTGTGTAGGAAATAACGCGCATGGTCTCTCCAGTTGGTTGAATACTGAAAGATTAGCTGGGACGCTCATACAACTTCATCCTACTTGGGATGGTCGTGACTGGAGGTGGGCAAAGTGTATCATTTTTGCGATTGGAACATTTGCATCTCGATCACTGAAATGTTCCGAAGCACTGATATATGTTTCATTTGGCTCATTTGGATCATCGACTCAAAAGATATAAAATACAGAATGTTACGAATACATTAAGTTGCGTCGCGGGCGTTTATTACTGACTGATTCAGTGAAATGTTATGTGGCAACAATGCTGAATGATCTTAGGTTATTTTTATCAATATTTAGTATTGTTATTTATTGTGTACCGTAATAAGGTTGTATATAAAATCGATCCTCCTTTATATTTTATCCAGACTTAGGACTGGCGGCTAGTCCTTAATTTATTGCAAGCTGGCGTATTATTTATGATGAAAAGGAAGAAAGTAAGTCACAATAATCACTACGTAAAGAAATCCTAAACAGAACTCAGTTATGTTTTCGTAAACAGGCGCAAACAAACATAAACAATTTGACAATTTAGTGCCAGATCAACGTAAAAGGACAACTTGTTAATGTAAACATTATATGCAAAAGACGACCGTATAGTATTTGATACCTAAGCGCCATAGTGGTCATTTTTACGTGCATGAATAACTATAGTTAAAATCTGTACGAGTTGAGCTGAGTTATACACTTCTCATTTGTTATCTTTTTCTGACTTGTATAGATTGTTATTATTTCGCGCGCTCACTCGCCACTCTCTCGCTTGTGGCTCAGTCGCCTCGCGAGCGAGACGCGTCGCACTAAATGAGCAAAGTAATGTTCCAGATCCAAATGATGCATTTGAAACATTGTTACTGAACCAATCTTTTGAAACACTTCAGTGATTCGAATCAGTGAGTCAGTTCCGTAAAGAGTTACACACGCCTAGTCGTGACCGTATGCTAAGCGTTTTTGGATTTGATTATAGTAGAGACATGAATTGTATCCGTCCATTCAGTAAAGCATATAAAATTCCACAGCTGAAATTAGGGCTCGCCTTAGATTGCCTCATAGCAGGCATTTTGCTATAGTTGTTATGCTTGGCAGGCTGGTTGCCAACTGTAGTTTTTTTATTATTTTCTCCTGGTTTAGTTTACCTTTGTCGTCTCTTACGTCACACACGGGATGATATGCGGTAGTGAATATTCTTACATCGCCACTGCGTGATTTATATGGTCTAAAAATTGCCTTGTCTAAAAATGCCTTCAAAACCTAAATAGTAAATAGTTCCAGTGACGTCTCCTATATTAACTTTCTATTTTTGTTGTATTGCAGCATCCATCCACAAACGAAGCACTACCACATAAAGCAGAAGGACACGGGCGAGTACTATCTGTCGGACAAACATTGCTGCGCCAGCATCCCCGAGCTGATCAACTACCACAAGCACAACAGCGGCGGCCTGTGCTCGCGCCTCAAGACCACGCCGTGCGACCGCCCGCCGGCCACCGCTGGACTGTCGCATGGTACAACTGCACCACGTCGTCGTCACTATTTACACCATTACCATCGTTAAGAACGACTAAATAATCATTATCAAAGATTCTCGCTTGTCTCCACAGTCTATAGATTAACTGTCGGCTCCCTATGCCCCAGTAATTTCATTATCAATTGTGTCGTCTTCTATGCTGCTTATTTTTTCAGATTATTTTAATTTTGAGCATTTATTAATGTCCTGTATTGCACATACATATCAATAATACTTATTTTTAATTTCTATTTCATAGATTTATTTTTGTAGGTTTTGTACATTTTGTCTGTACTGTCTTAGACATCGTAGTGTTACTATACAATCATTTAAGCACATTGATATACCGACTATCAACTTCATACTGCTAAAGGGTTTGTAACACCGCCTTAATTTCTACTGATATAAAACTGCCGGGGTGTAAGAAGAAGTAAAGTTATATCTCCGAAACTTTTCACCCCCTACATTATAAGACGTTTTCAAGCTTCTGGACAGGCCCGAATACGATATTAGTAACATCAATGGCGAACACTTCGCTCACCTTCGATTTGCCGACTATGTTGTCTATAGTAAAATCCCTATATCTTAGCACTATGCTCAAAGACCTCAGTAGTGTCTCACATCAGATCGACAAAAATCGTGTCTAAATTCTATGTTTAAAAAAAATAAGATATGGGTGACAAACGAGCACAGTCCACCTAATGGTAGTTGTGGAGACACTACGCTAGAAGTTGTTGACAAATGTTTGGTATTCCTCAAAGCTTTAAGACGAAAATCTACAACCAGTGCGTGATGCTAGTGATGACAAACGGAATCAAAACGTGATCCATCACTGCTGGCCGTATGAGGAAGCTGAAAGTCACTCAGCGTCTGATGGAAAGGATCATGCTCAGAATTTCTCTGCAGGATAAAATCTGTAATGATATCCTCGTCCGTCCACAAAAAATAAGAGTGAATGACATAGCTGAACGGAGCAGTAAGCTGTCAACTTCTTCCCTATCATCAATAATATGCTCTATAAATAAGCTATTTAAATTTTAAATTAATAATATAAAATAAAAAATTATTATTCATAAAATAAATCTAAATAAAGAAATTTTAAAATTATTTATGTGATATAAATAATAAGAAAATTAATATTTTTTAATAATATTAAATATACCTTGACCTCTATATAATTCTATTCAACCTATATCAATATTTTTTATTAAACCTTGATTATAATTTAAAATATAAAAATTAGAACCATATGTAGATCCCCGCCCCCCCCCCCCATACTCCCTAGCTACACCTCTGCACAAGATCGAATGTATAATGTAATCACTTCATCGCTTAAAGACAAGCCTTTTCAAGAAATAGTATGTTAGCAAACTCACGCACAGCATGCGGGTGGGTTGGGAACTGGTAACGCTGCTGCCCATCACGAGCCTCTGAAATTTCGATTCATTGTTTTTATTCCACCATTAGTTGGTCCCCATCCTATCTTTCGTAAATTAGCTGGAAGAAACATGAGTAAGTAAAATGAACATTTTTCGCCTATTCCACGATAATAATAATAATAATGTCCTCCAGACCGAATTCCGGCCACGGCGGCCAGCCTCAACGGAGGCTAGCCATCGGTGCAGCAGGTGCGAACTTGTAGTGCCCAAGTGTATGTGCAAGTACAGGTGCACTCTCTATTCCCTCACTCTCGTAATCCGATGGGACGGTAAACCGACACGACCGGAGGGAGGTCAGGCGCAGGGCAAACGGCTTTACGTGCTTTCCTAGGTACGGGGGTGAGACACCGCCAACTTTCTGACTCCGGGCATCTACTGAGAATTTCTTAATGGAAAAGCTCAATAATTGATTTTTTGGCCCGACCCGGGATTCGAACCCAGGCACCTCATGATGAGCAGTCGCACTACTACAACTACTAGACCAACGAGGCAGTCCACGATAATAAAACACAAATAACACTTGAAACAAATTTAGTAATCAGTCACTTTCTACAGATAAATGGGAGATAGATCCAAACGATCTGGTACTGCACGAAGAGTTGGGCGCGGGACAGTTCGGTGTAGTGCGCAGAGGGAAGCTCTACGGCACGAGAGACGCCGCGGTCAAGATGATGAAAGAGGGCACCATGTCCGAAGACGATTTTATAGAGGAGGCCAAAGTTATGACGTAAGTGTTGATATACAAATAAATGAACGAAGAGCAAATAGCTGCCCGATTTTATTTTTGGTCGTTTAGTAATCATTCATTGATGCAAGCACAGTAAAGATTCCATCATCATCATCATCATCATCACAGCCCTTCACAAGTCCACTGCTGAACATAGGCCTCCCCCAAGTAATGCCACAAAGCACGGTCCTGAGCCACCTGCATCCATTGACTTCCTGCATATCTTACCAGGTCGTCACTCCATCTAGTGGGGGTCGCCCTACACTACGCCTACCGGTACGAGGCTGCCACTCGAGAACCTTTCTTCCCCATCGGTTATCGGTTCTTCGAGCTATATGGCCGGCCCATTGCCACTTCAGCTTACTAATCCGTTGGGCTATGTCGGTCACTCTGGTTTTACTGCGGATATCCTCATTTCTGAGTCTATCACGCAGAGAAACTCCGAGCATAGCCCTCTCCATAGCTCGCTGAGCGACCTTGAGCGTCCTCATACGGCCAGCAGTGAAGGACCACGTCTCTGATCCGTAAGTCATCACTGGCAACACGCACTGGTTGTACACTTTAGTTTTTAGAGATTGAGGTATACCTGACGAGAAGATATGTCGTAATTTCCCGAACGCTGCCCAGCCGAGTTGAATCCGTCGATTGACCTCTCGGTCGAAGTTGGACTTACCTAGTCGGAATATTTGTCCCAGGTAAACGTACTCGTCAACAACTTCGAGCATAGTGCTCCCAACAACTACCGGCATAGGTGTGACATGGACATTAAACATCTAAAGATTCCAAGTTAAATAAAATTCTACCAATTAGCTCCACCAAAACTCCAGGGTATTTCTTCCCTGGTAAAACCGTTTCTGTGTGCACTTATCGTGCAGCTCAACTACATATATACTTTGAAATATACAAATACAAAATAGAAAATTGTAGCCATATAGGACTATAATTCTAAAAATTTTTGTTTTCATATCTTTGAAACTACAACTACACCCTGACCTACCTTCGATTGAAATTCTTAAGTTCTACGAGTAGGTTAGAAGTAGTTGAAACATAAAGATATTTATTGAGTAGTTTATTTACAAATTCAGTCATATTACTTGAAAAGAGTATAATGTAAACTGCTAATATTATAACCTTATTTTGTCTAATAAATAATTCATAATTTAAGAAAATCATTCATGTTTTTCATCATACAATCATTGCATGTATAAAAGACTAATATCACTCTACAACTTTGGCGATTTTTCTCACTCGTAAGAGTAGTACCGTCAACCATCAATAACAATAATTTTACCATGGGACAATTTTTTTACCTATCTAAAGTCTTTGACCTAGTTTCACATGACTTATTATTACAGCAATCAGAAAAGAATGGGATTAGAGGACCTACAATGGAAATGAAAAAATAAAATGCATACAATTTCATCAAAAACAGCTTTATTTAGAAAAAGCGTTTTCAGTATATTATCTATAATCTACAATAAGGTTCCGCCTATGTTTCATGAAGTGGAAGACATTAATAAATTTAAAAAAAATAACGAGTATTTAAGCGACACATCAGTAGGCATATTACAATGACATTAACTATGATATTATTTTTCTACGTCTACGACGTTCTATTAGACTATATAATATGTATTATAAATATCCTACTCTAATTAATATACGATTAAATTACATCATTGTTAAGTATGCTGATATTTAATTTATTATTTATATTATAAATAATGTAATGAAATAATTTAATTGTAGAAATGTAATAGATTTAATTGTAACTATAATATTGGAATACCTAAGGGTTGAATGTTTCGAACATCATTTTTTTAAAGATCTATTCTGTCTCCTGTACTGTTCTTGCAATGTGTCATTATTACTAAAGCAGATGTAAATGGGGTCACTATACCGTACTCGTCCGAATACCGATACAATAAATATGGCGTTCCACAAGGAAATTTTCTCGGTCCTTTCCTATTTCTGTTGTACATATATGACATTGTTAATATGGCGAAGCATAAGTGTATACTATTTGCTGATGGCATTAAAGTTGTTCAAAACGACTATAAATCAATAGCACGCTACAAACTATAAACTATAAATTTCTAGCGCGCTATTAAATACGCTATGTTATAGCGCGCTATTTATAAGAAAGGGTGTAGGAGGCCGGCAAGCGCGTTAAGTTTTGCAGCACGCTATATCTCTAGCACGTTACATTACATGTCGTTCATTGGATAGACCGCGTGCTATATAAGAACATTATTTCGTAATAAGTTGCATTTTATACTAAAATAAAATAAAGTGGTAAAGAAAAACCAATTACTTTTTCATACTTTTCAGGCTTACAACTTTCTATAATCCTAGAAATATTTTTAAAGCATGTACTTTTGAAAATGAAATAAAATTAATTATTTTTTATAATAATTGATGTAAACGTTATTTTAACCTTAATATAAATTATAAATCAAATAAAGGTGTATTTGAAAGTTTATTGATTGTATTTATAAAAATTAACTATTTACATACACTATTGTATACACTTTTGTATCTATATTTTATTTACATTTCAAACATTAGTTAGACTTCTTTTATAGCAGACAACTGTTGTATCCTTCGATCACTTATAAATATACAGTATACACAAACTAAACAACGTCTAACACTAAATTAGGTCGCGCGCGATGAATAGCGTGCTACTAGATCAAATTTGCGTCACACGTCCTCTCCCAACAGCGCTGCTGCTAGAACTAATTGCCGCTAGATATTAATACTTAATAGCGCCAAAGCGCCATAGCGCAATAGCGCCATGGTGACCACGTACATAACACGCGCTATGTGTTATGGAGAGATAGCGCGCTATAATATGGCGCTATGCGCTATATTAACCACCATTAGATGGCATCGTAATTATCGTTACTTCCAGTAAAAAAAAAATTAATAATATCAGTGACCATGAGGCAGACATAAATAATACAATAGATAATTTAATTAATAGAGTTGACATACATAATTTAAAAATCTATTTAGACACATCTTTATATTATATACAATTTATTAAATGCACTGATAATAAACATACTCTTAAACTTAACATACTAACAATGAAAAGAGCTAGACATATGTACCAAATTTTTAGTTTTAATTATAGATGGTGGTATAAATTGGAAACCACATGTAAACGATGTTTCTATCAAAATAAATAAATTCATGTGTGCTCTTAATCAAATCAAAAATATAAACGTAAAAAGCGCCATCATGTCCTACCATGCAAATGTATAATCATTACAACAACACTGATTAAAATATGCATTTGAGCAACATGTGGGCTAAGATCGAATGGATCGTATCAACCGATATTTAAACAACTTGTCTTGTGACCACTACCATCACTTTTCATCTATATGAAGTATGCATGGTTTGTACAAAATCACACCGTTGTTTACTACGATAGATGATATAAATCCCCATAATCGATAATCCCAGAATAAGCAAAATAATAAAAGTAGTTTATTTATATCTTTACTCTTATCTAATAAGGTAATAAGGTACCTAATAACATTGAAGTAATATGTACTTATGTACTAGAACAGCTATTTCAATTAAAAAATGTGCGCTACTCTGTGTTCGCGCGGTTGTTTTTTTATCATAGAATAAACAGATAGAATGATCAGTAGGTAATAATAGATTGTACTGTTAAATGGGTAATTTATATCGATAACAATATTTTAAATTTTTTCATTTATTTTGTATATTATATTTGCTTATTTAATATAATATTATATAATATTAAATATCACAATTACAATTAATGATATTTTTATCTCAATATTTTAAAAGGTATCTATCTCAAATATAAAAAAACATACTAAATGTATGTTTAACAAAACTTGTTAATATAACATTTAAATTACAAATATATTTAATAAGAGTCGTTCATAAATACTGGGCACGCGGGAGTTAAAAATTGACGAATTTATTCTACTTTGACTTTGATGTGGAAACCTAAAAATAAAATATAAGAATAATTAGCAGATTTAAATATAAAAATTTTGGCCTAATTATGATAACTCATATATGTTTCTACAAAAAAATGTGTATAATAATATATTCGTCCTATACTTAAGTACCCACAGCCATGTCGCGTCTGAACAAATCAATTTCATAATCTATATTACGTGACACGAGATGGCCTCTTAGGAATAATTTGTTTTATTACTAAAACTAATGAAAAGTAATTCCTTGATTTTTACTGACATTTCTTGAATTATTTGTGCAATATCTAAGTACGCACGACGCCATATTTTTATCACGAGATATTTTTTAAATCAACACAACACGTGTCAACTCTACAAGCGTCTAGCGAGCGACTGATTAAAGTACGGTGTATGCACCGCAGTTGAATGGAACATAGTAGCTGAATGCAGAGTCGCCTCTAGTACGTCCAACGACTACACAGCCCGAATACACGCCTAATATATGGACTTCTGCATCCAAACCTGTCTGTCAAAAGTCTGAGGTAAGCGGTACGGGGGAGGCGGGTTGAAATGCACGCTAATTGGTTAAAATCAAGGTTACGACAGCAAAGCAAGAACAAAGCAATTGCGACATTTGCTAATAAGCAAATAGTGTTGGGAACTTTAACTAATAAATTTGGTATCAAGTCTACTTAATCAGTACCAGAGTTATGTATAAATTAGTACAAAATTAAAAAAAAAACGAAGTTTTATTTAAGTAGGTAAGAATATTTTTATTAAAACAAGCTTTCGTTACAATATTGAGATAATAATAGAATAAATACTATTAAAAATAAAATAGTAACAGTTATTTAAACTGTCAAGTTCACTTCCGTTTCCTACTTGTCTTGACATGGCATCTTAGCAGTAAAGAGAGCGGAGTGCCGTCTATTAAAACTTATATCAATTTTATTATGAATTATTTTTAAGAAGTTTTGAATAATTTGATTTAATTATTAAATCAATTAATTCAAAAATATGGATTAACGTACATTTACTAAAAAAATTCAGCTCACATCTATGTCGCAGTATAAGCCTGTAAAACATTCACGATAACATGTACACAAGCTGCACTAAAAGTATCGGGAATGGAATATTTCCACTATTCCTGTCATATTAAAATCTTTTTAATTGAAAACTCCTTGGTTTTAAAAATCGAATACCATTTATTTATTTAAAAAAAGATTCTCGGTCTTGTCACAAGGTTTTGTCAAACTTGTTTAGTCGTTGAGAAAATGGAATTGACTCAAGAAAATTCAAGAGCGATGATTTATTATGACTTTCGAAGTGGTTTAACACAAAAACAGTGTGTTGACCGGATGATTTCTGCATTTGGTGATAAAGCCCCATCCAAAACCACAATTTATCGCTGGTTTGCTGAATTTCAACGTGGACGTGTCAAGCTAAGTGATGATCCCCGTCAAGGTCGTCCAAAAACTGCAGTCACCCAAGAAAACGTTGATGCTGTGTTGCATGTTCGAAGCTGTGGCATGAGTCGAATACAAATAATCTTGCATTAACAATTAGGTGTAAAAAAGTTGTTTTCCCGATGGATACCGCATTCGCTCTGTGAAAAGCAAAAAGCGGCTCGTGTTACTTGGTGCGTCAGAACTCTCGAAAGATTACACGCAGGATCCTCAAATGTTTCATTTCATGGATTCATCACCTGATACTTGATGTTGTATACACAACATCATATCAGGTGATGAATCCTGGATATACGCGTACGAACCTGAAACAAAAAACCAGTCACGAGTTTGGGTGTTCAAAAATAAGTTAAAGTCAACAAAAATTTTTCGTTCACGGTGTGTTGCAAGAAAAAATGGTGGCCACGTTTGTCTAAAAAACCGGCCATGTTACGACTATTCCTCTTGAGAGATAAAGAACAGTTAATGCCGAGTGGTATGCTAGCATTTGTTTGCCACAGTTCGTTTCTGAACTCCGTAAAGAGAACTGCAACCGCCGCATCATCCTCCCATCACGACAATGCGAGTTCTCACACCGCACACAGAACAAAAGAGTTTTTAGAGCTCTTGCTCTAAAAACATAGAATTTGATCATGGGCGGCGGTAGTCACTTAACATCAGGTGAGCCGCATGCTCGTTCGCCCCCTCTTCTATAAAAACAACCATCCGCCGTACAACCCCGACCTAAGACCTAATGATTTCTATACTTTCCCTAAAATAAAAAATAAATTGCGTGGACAGAGATTTTCATCACCTGAAGAAGCGGTGGACGCCTACAAAACGGCGATTTTGGAGACCCCAACTTCCGAATGGAATGGTTGCTTCAATGATTGGTTCCATCGTATGGAAAAATGTGTCAAATTTCGCGGAGAATATTTCGAAAAGCAATAAATACATTTTTAAATAGTAATGTTGTGTCACTTCCTTGATTCCCGAAATTTTCAGTGCCGCCCTCGTATAATATTTACTTGTACCAATATTATAGTTTAACTGGTACAGCACTAGTTACACGTGTCGGTTAAAAGAAAAGTATAGCGGCAATGAACTGCATTGAAAAGAAAGGGATGCATAGTCCGAAAATATCCGAAGATGGCCGAATAAATCAACGCGAGTTGCTGGTGACAAATGTAGGTTGAGCTCTGATTTAATTTTGATTAATGAATTTGGAAATTAAAATTTACTTATCTTTGAAAAGTGATGCCATTTTTTTGAAATTACACATTTGGCTACTATTTCCGCACTATTTTATTGTACAGGGAACCATGTTGCGCGTCTGTTGTACTTTATTTTGTCGAAAATTCACGAGTCACATGCAAGATGTTCACGAGTCAGGGAAGTGGTCGCTACTAAAGTAGATTGCGCGATCGTTTTCATAAGTAAGACGTATTTGTCTGATGTGTTGATAGAAAGTTTTCGCCTTTCATGAGGCGTCTATTCGGGCTGTGTAGTCGTTGAGTACGTAGTACATAATAGCTCAATGCCTAATAACTTAAAAATATTTAATACCAGTTTATTTACATTAAATTCTATGAGTGGCGAATGATAGTAACTTCTATAGCATTAGAGATTTATTGTAGGTATAAAATATTAATGTGTAAAAAAAATTTGCATGCTGTGTAAATATAACCATAGCAAAACATGCTGATGTGTAACATTATTTATAATCTATTTATATCATGTTTATGCAAATCAATTATTATTATTATTATAAAATTCAGCTAGAAGTCATGAAATATTAGTAAATATTTATTTTTTCTATTGTTTTAGAAAACTGCAACATGATAACCTGGTACAGCTCTATGGCGTGTGTTCCAAACGTCGACCTATTTATATAGTGACTGAATACATGTGCAATGGTTCCCTCTTCAACTACTTGCGTCGTACCTCGCCGGACCAGCTGGGTCCCGCAGTACTGTTAGATATGTGTTTACAGGTGTGTTCTTTAATATGATATTCTCACAAGGTTGTCGGTCTTCTTTTCTTGTAACTTTTGACTATCACTGCCATTAAGCACCAGTGTACTGCTAGAGTCCGGTTTGAAATTTATGAGTGCCAGTACAATTACACACTATGGCATTTTATCTTAATCCTCAGATGTGGAAACAAATTTGTGGGACCTTTTTTGGTGTTAATGTCCATGTTCTGCATAAACTATAAGTATAAGCTCATTAGATACTCTAAACTTATATAAATGTGAGTTTACTATGATAATGATGAAAGAATATTCCCAGGGTAATAGAGATTCGCTCTTAGCTATCGAGTTAAAAAATAGTGTAGTGTAATAAATATTTGTAAATATAATGTATTTTTGAGGTACCTAGTGTCAAATGTATTTTACATTTTTTATTGGCACAAAAATTAAGTACATTTACTTATTTTCAGGTTTGCAAAGGAATGGCGTATTTAGAAAGGCATAACTACATTCATCGAGATTTAGCTGCAAGAAATTGTTTAGTTGGTGAAGCAAATGTTGTTAAGGTAAGTTAAATATAATACTTAATTTAAGATGATTTCTGTAACAAACAAATTAAATTATTTCACCAACATTCTTATTATATTGCGTTTATATTTAGAGTTAGTCTTTGTATATTATATCTATTTTAGCTTATGTTGTTAAGATCACTGTTTAATACACTGACAGTTTTCAATTTTGTTATAACAGCCATAACTTTATTATCAACACCACGCATAACTGAACTAAGTGTTCTAACATAAACAACCGAAACTATACGGAAAAAGAGGTTCGCGTTTATGTCAGGGAATGCCACACATGTAGGCGTTCGTATTAAACGTAGGCAAGTAGGTAGTGAAGGTTCATAATGTCCCTTAAACATAAACAAACGGTAGTTTTCTCATGCAAAGTGCAGCATGCGCCCTACTGTACACCCACGACACGCTTTTTTACATGCACATGTTTTAAATCACTGGCTCCATACCAAACCAATAAATATTTTCTATGCTCGACGTTATTACGCCATGTTCAACGAAATTTCGGTTTAATGGCTTCATTCATATAATCTTTAAAATATTTATGATAATTATTGCAGGTCGCAGACTTTGGTTTAGCCCGGTACGTGTTAGACGACCAGTATACGAGTTCTGGCGGTACAAAGTTCCCAATAAAATGGGCGCCCCCAGAAGTACTCAACTACACGCGATTTTCCTCAAAATCTGATGTTTGGGCGTTCGGTACGTATAGTTCGTTTTTTTCATTTCGAAGACTAAATGATAACTGCAAATATCAAACGTGACAAGAATGTGGTTTACAAGCTGGAGCCATGTATAAAGGCCAGCACAAATGAATCGGATCGACCGGGAAAGGACCTGGCTCGCACACAATACCAGTGTACCTGCATTTTTATGATGTGTTTTATATGAGTAACGAGAAATGGATACCTTTTTACTAATAAATGTAGGGATGATTCGATACATATAAGTACTCAATACTTTCTTTCGATAACAATTAATTTTAGTATTAAATAAATTCTTTCAATACCAGGTGGGTATCGAAACGAATACTTGTATCGAATTGAATCACGCGCAATTTTACACGCCAAAACGCTATCTCGCGGTCGCGGTCCAAGCCCCACCCGCCGGACAGATTTCCGAACTAAAATGAAAGTCAAAGCACATACGCTTTTGTCGTTCTAATTGTTTTGTCTTTTTTTCCACAAATATAAAATATTTTGAATCTTAGGCTACCACAGTACCGCCGAAATCTAAAGTATGGACATATTTTATAAAAGTGAATGAATCTACGGCAAAATGTTGCTTACATTTTGCCGTAGATTCATTCTCTTTTATTATGTTTTAAGGCTGTGAAGTTCTGTGGCAACACATCCAATTCGAAAATGAATGTTATGTTCCTCCTTAATTGTGTTGTTTATTATAAAAATAAATAAATAATATCTCACCATTTTTTTAATTTTGGACTTGTAAAAAAAGTATCGATACAAGTACTACTTGTATGAGTAGGTATCGATGTTTTGGTGGTATCGGAACATCCCTAAGTAAGAGGGGATGTAAAGGCAAATTGCCAATCTTAGATCCGATTTATACATAGCTAAATCAACGTTCAACTTTACAGCAACAAAAAATTATTAATAAGGATATTACATCGTAATTTCGGAGGACTACATTGATTAAAAAATTACAACAAAATTTACATTTCACATTATATTACACACTACGTATATATTATACAGTACATAAAAACATAAATAACTTTGCTTGTAATGCCATTTACTAGACTCCACAGAATTAGTAATTCATTTATGGGGCAATGTATACGCTTCTACATCAAAATCCCAGAAAATTTTCAGTTTGCCAATAAACAAGTTTAAAAGTTTTAGTACAGAAAAATTGTACAAAAAAACTTATTATAATAATCAAGGAATACATGACTTAAAACTACCCTTGGAGAATACCATGGAGGTTCTATTAAAATTCATTTAAAAATTGTACAAAATAAAATTATTTTAAAGTGAAATATGTTTTAAAAAAATCCCGCTGGGTTTTGGGAGAGGTACCTTCCGATTCAGTAGTAAAAAACGACTTTCAAACTTGCAATAAATATTATGTAATGATCTATATTGAATAAAAAAAAACATTCATTCATTTATTACTTAGCGCAGGCTTTAGCGATTTTTAAAAATTAATAAAAATTTTGAGTTATTGATAAAAATGCTTTTAGCGCTTACTATACTTTTATTCCGTCTCGTCCGTCTCACGGCATGACGGCTTCATGTAAATAATATATAGGTCGATAGGTGGTGGCAAATCGTTCCAGATATTAGCAGCGGTGAATTTAAACACACCCTGCTCTCAGAGAGTCTAATCCTGGAAAGTGGAAATCGATGATTTTCTGACCGAAAAGAACAAACTTTTTTTTTCAACAGCTTCAATTTGTTTTTTTACTATAAATCTATAATTTGTATTGGTAAAACTATTTTCGGTTAATTTCTAGGTGTTCTAATGTGGGAAGTATTTACATGTGGAAAAGTGCCCTATGGACGAATGAAAAATAATGACGTGGTGGAAATGGTTCAAAGAGGACAAGTGCTAGAAAGGCCCAAAGGTTGCTTGATTGAAATTTATAACGTAAGTACAGTTTTTCACTTCGCATTGTACAAAAGACTGAACTGTTTTTATTTTTGGAAGTAAAACTTCTTTAGGCGCATTTTGAGGCTATTCAGATGTTTTCCGACGGGCGTAACGTTTATAAAGTCTTTAGAACTGTCTTTAGTACATTTATAAAGGCAGGGACTAACATTAGTATTTCGTATGATATTTTGTTAATATACACACATACTATACAAGGTATAGTATGTGTATATATTAACAAAATATCAAATATTATACATACATTTATTTGACAAACAAGATCAGTTCACCTGATGGTAAGTGTATGCTTGTAAAATAAATGGCGAAAATTCATTGAAAAACCTTTTGGTGATGTTTCATTTTCCGCTATCACTTGGTTGTCACAGGGTTGGTTCGCCAAATAGCAGAGTTGTCAGTGTTTGAATTTTGGGGAATACACACGAGAGTATGTGTTTCGAATAGTGCTCAACCAAGCTTAAGAGGAGTATTACAAAAAAACGCGAAATTACGAGGTTTCCTCGTTGAAATTATATGTTTTCCGTTCGTTGCTTGAAATAACAATAACTTGATAAAAATTAGTTCGTTTTCTCTACTACAATAAGCTCAAGGCAAATTTTAGATAACTTATTTATTTATTTAGTAATAATCATTCTACCGATGCATATTTAGGCCAAAACTCTGAGAGACATGATTTGGAGGCTCTAATTTGTAGATTCTATTGAATATCGACTATCGAAAATTTTTTTTTATCTGACAAATATCCTATACTTTAAAAATGATAAAATACATTTTTCCGTTATATGCCTTTCACGTATGAAAAAAAAATCGACATAATTAAATTAACGACCGAAAAAACTTTGATACAAGCCCCAATATCTCCGAAGTTCTACGTCATTTTGACGTAAAATTTATGCCAAAATAGTCATCAATATTTTCTTAAATTATGATATAACTATGATTTTTACTTTTTAAATCATTACTACTATTTTTAATTAATTAAATAAAAGTACCATATTCACTGCGTCGGCCATCTGAATTCACTACCGCGCGAGCGCTTGTCGATGTTGCATCTGTGACATTTGATTTCGCGCGCTCCGTCGCGTTTCGATATTATCATAGTGTACGTCGATTGCCGTTATAGGCGCCGCTACTTTGGCTTGTGTTCCGAAATAGAACTCAACTACGATCGCAGTTTTTGATCGTTGGAAGAATTTACTTTCGTGCAGTATATTTCAATTAGGATAATGTTCGCACATTATTATTATATCAGATAGTTAACTCATTATAGTTATTTTCATTGTAGCTGAGCTTTCTCACCAGTAGAAATGCGAAAAATAAATACAAGTATCAATGTGTCACTAAAAAATAAAAAAATAAATATCAGATTATGACTCAGATTATGCAGTAAAAGTACTAAATATCTACAAAGACGACAAATTTTGGATTTTGAATATGTTAGCCAAGTTACAAGCGTTTTATAGAAAGTCTGTACTGCCTGAAATTATAGGCTCGAGAAAAGCTCGGCCAATGCCGTTGCGGAAAATATATTTATAATAAAAAAAAATATGGTAATTGACTGTAAGTACCGATTAAAAAGCTATTAGTTACAGTTGGTTATTTTATTTATTACAACAGGTCGCAACCGTACTATTTATTTATTTATTTATACCACTATGCTACCGTTAGTAGATATAATCGATTATTAACCAACATCGTATAAAAATCGATTACTGCGAAACAATTAAAATATTTATGTGTACTTATTTCAACATTAAGGTTCATAAATAATAAAAGATATATCAAATAGATTTATAATAAATTAATTAGATAACATAAAAATGACACACCAAAAATTTTTCATCTACTGAACTCCATCCTAAGAAAACTTGTATAGTGGAAGATCAAGATCGCTTAGTCGCTATACTAACAGTATCATAGTGCGAGCCAGTGAATAGATATTTAGAAATAAAGTATCGCTCGCGTAGGTCGTCGCCCGCTTGGAGCGTAAAATACCTAAATTTGCGTAAAGTCGAAATGTAAGAGGGCTCTTAACTCGTCGATTGACCTCTATTTCAATGTTGGTATTGCGGTTTAATAAACGAAAAAAATCTATATGCACATAGATAAAATTGGTGTGGGTATGTCTGTAATAAAGAAATAGTTGGTTTAAAACAAATGTGTGTTGATGATTATTTTATAATCTCTATGAGATATATAAAAAGAATGAAACGAAACTTTTTGATGTGGAATTTTAAACAAAAAAGTCTTTACACTTACCTTACTCATCTATTTCTGTTAAAATATTTGTGCAAAATCAATTGATGACACTTTTTTTTACTTCAACACCATTTCATAATAGAACTATGTGTGTTATAGGACAAATAATAAGATTGTAAGATGTTGTACGTGAAATGAATGGATATTCAATTTTTTGAATTATTTTCCCATGCACGTACGTAGTTTTTGCGATAATAGCAAAACCTGAATTTATAGTGATTTTTAGACAATGAAATTAGAGATGTGCCAGTCGACTGACGCAGATTAAGTTGCGTGTATTAGAATAATAAACTTGATTACCCTTTTTGTCAAAACAGTGCATGCATTTAAAATTTTCTATTCCAACCTTAGGTGATGCGCGCATGTTGGCGCCAGTCGCCAGACGAGCGGCCTTCGTTCCGCGCGTTGAAGGAGGAGTTGAGTGCGATGCTCCGCGATTGACTGCGCCTACTGCTGTCGCTGCTGCGGCCCGCGCGCCCCGCCCCGCACTCCCCGCACGCCCCCCGCTCCCCGCACGTCCCCCACCCACTCCACGCCCCGCACGCCCCTCGCCCCACCGCCTCCCTGCCGCGCAGCAGACGGCTACACGCATCGCCCGTTTGAACCGGTGTTGAAGTTTAACCTGACGTCAATATGGTATCAAACAGAAACATTTTGTCCACTTGAAATTAACTTCTTCATATTTGAAGTCGTACAGCACTCAAAATATCAAGTGGAAATTGTGTCAACAGTGTCGTCAATTTGAAGAACTGAAGCTACCCATTGGGACAATCATATGACCATTGTGACGGATTTGAATATTGTTTGTAGTTTTCCTAGCTGCTTTAGATTTGCACTCGTCGGAGTTTTTTTTTATTACTTGATGCAGTAATTACTAGATTAATTGGAATGTAACTAATTTTGCACTAACCTAAAAATGTGGAGGCGGAACACGCTGGTATTCTGTGAGAGCGTGGTCCCCCGGTCGAGCCGCCCATTGGTTCTACATTACAACTGACTACTAAATAACTGCAGCATGGCTCTACCACCTTTTATCAACTTGCTTTCTTAATTTGTTTTTCCGGTAAAAAATGTGTAATCAGTTTTCGAAGCACTTGCTGAAATCCGACTAAGCTGAATATTACATATTTATCTTACATAAGATAACAATGCAATGACATGGTACTGTGGCTGATCTGATGCTGAAGCCGAATAGTGGCCTTAGCAACGCCTGTATAATCCTGCTTTTAAATAGATTTTATAATTAAGCATTGACGTCTGAAATCATTCCATTAACTTCAATACCAGAAGTTATTATAATTATGGTTAAAAAAAATTACAATAATTATGTTCCTTTCGTTTTTTACATCAATGAAAGACTACGAATGCAGTGATGTGTGTGTGAGTGACATATTAGCAGACAGAAAGAGGAAAGTTGTTTCTAGTACAACCCTCAGTTGCGAAGTATCTATTGTGCCTTGTAAGTTCTATTGATATCTGTTTTAATAATGAGCAATGGCATACTTCAAATACTATGAAAATTATATTAAACCTGAGTGGTGATTTATTGATAAAACAGTAGGTACTTGCTTGCACTTGCTTGTCCAACATTAAAATATTAATTAAATATTGTACCAAAACATAAATCTTAAACTTCAAAAATGTCTCATAAATTTCTGTATTCAATTTTAATATAATATTTTATAGGAAAATCGAACATGAATTTCATATAAAATCTAGGATAATTTAAAAAAATAAAGATGTAAATATTTTACTGTATATACCATAAATTATAGGTAATGCAAAACGATAGAGAATAGTATTGTATGGTTCGTTTTAAATGAAATCCAAAAGAATGTAAAGAAATATAGCGGGCGACTCATTGTTAATAATAATCTGAGAATTAGAAATAAAGAGTCTTAGAGTATTAGATAAGGTTTTATTTTTGTTTAAAAATACCAACTGCAAATGGTTGCTGACAAAAACTTAGTTGAAAAACATAAATGTAGCTGTTAAAGGTTATCTCTGAAGAAGTAGTTTATAATATGAAATAGAAATGTTCCATGTTGTTTACATTTTATAGGATTTTATTTAAAACGGACAATAATCCTATTTATTAATTTTGGTCGAATATAAATTGACAACATAGGAAAAAAATGGACACACATGGACAAGTACTGTCTGCTGTACCTCTCACTTCGTAATTAAAGAAACAATAATTTTAAATTGTGTAAAAAACTCGTAATGAAATTAGCATTTAAATATTAAAATTAAATAAAAAGGAAGAAACGGCATAGAAAGTAACCTAGAAAATTAGTCTTAAAAAAATAGTGATTTTTACACATTGACTTGTCAATTATGTAAAATACATATTTTCTTTTTGAGCAATTTTAATGTCTGAACAAAATATTTATGACGTTCCATTTTCTTTACTAATAGTATTGTAAGTTTCTTATGATTTAGAAAAGTTTATAAAGAAGTTCCTTAATACAGACCCTCAACAATCTTTCTTTCTGTAATAATAACAGAATTTTGATAATTTTAAATTAGTTAAACTTGCGTTCAAAATAACAAATATAGCATGATAACAATAGCATGTTTTTTTTTGAAATAAAAAAATAGAAAATGTTTTGAAGAACATGTTTTGATCCGGCTTGAAGGACCGAAGGGTGTGTGCGTAATATTTTTCGATGTGGGCCCATTCAAACACAAAAGAATATTTTTAGGCATGGATAAAACACCAAAACCTTTTTAAACAAATTGGAAACAGACAAACTCACATAGTATTAAAAATAGAAACTACAACAAAAGTATTTAGTTTTGTTCTGTGTAAAATGGGAAGAATAACTTAGTATTTTTATAAGATAGTTTTATAGTGATTTGATCGTCCATCCTCAGAGATTTTATTTTATTAATGTATAATATTCGGTTTTGGCAAAAATTGCACGAAGCACCAATATTTCTAACCCAGGACTTGAATTAAGCGTCTATTACGTCAATCCCTCAACGCTACGCTAAAATACTCTTTACTCTAGTTACTAATAATAAGCTAAATTATCACAGTGATTGTATTTTATCAGTTGATTTTCAGTATTGCTTACTTCATATATTGCCGTATTACTTATCTGTTCGAAATCATCTTTATTTCATTTGTGCCTAAATGTATACTATATACTTACATAACATAATATATAAAATACTCTTCTTTTCTGGCCCGGATCATCCCAGTGCTAGCTGTTTTCACTTGACCGTACCTAATGAAGAGCGGTCCGAGTCGTCAACGACCGAGTTCTTTCTGTCGGGTCCGATTTACTGGCGCTGTGAGAGATGTTCAGAAATTTATCCATAAAATTCCACTTTACCATATCACGTATTTTGAAAACTGAATTTTTGAAAACGGTTTTGCACCATTATGCGATATGCCATTAACACTTATTTTTAGCTTAGCTTTCGGCATTAATCCTCGCACGTTTTGTGTTGTGGATTCCGCCACCACTGGCAATTTTTAGACGCGCCTTTGCGACTTAGACAACGTAATTGCACTTTCCCTTGTATTTCAGTTGTTCAGAAGCGGTAGCACATCAAAGGTTTTTTTTTTAGAATAAAGGTGACGAACGAGAAAAGTCCTCCTGATGTTAAAGCTATGCTGAAGTCGAATACGGAATATCTAGGTTTACTATACTAGGTTACTTAAGTATTAGGCCGAATACCTAATATTTAAGTAAGGGGGTTTTATTGTAGTCAGATATTTGATAAAACGAAATATTTATTTATTTTATAGACTTTTTTTCTGTAGTCATTAAAGTAGTCATAGGTATATAATTAACTTCCATATTATAAAAATTACAAAAAGAACTATCACATAAATGTCTATGCACTCGAATGATCGTTAAAGTGGAAGATACATGATTATGTGTGACTTAATTTTTTTTTTCATTTCCAGGCAATAGTTTATTCCTTTTCTTCTCGTAGACAATCCCAGCTTCAGAGAATAGATGATCTGAAGAATAAACACTACTTCCTTATCAACTGAATACTTTTGCCTATTCGGCTATTCGGCGAGGAAGTCTGCAGAAAATTCGGTACTCGGTGTGTGGCCTAAAATATATATACTATCCGTTGCAATTTGAAAACAAAGGATAAATGAAGATGTATATGGGCCACAGCATTCATTTACCATCGAGTTGACTGTATGCTCGTTTGAAACCATTATTCTATATAAAAAAAACGTCGGAATGCGTTTTGAAATTACAAATCCACATAATAAGTATAGAGACTAACAGAGAAATAATAGTTGGACCAGTGATAGTATTTTTAAATAATAATATTTATGTCTTTATTCATGCAATTAAATATATAATAATACTAACCAATACTGCAAAATCAACAGTAATTTTATAAATGGTAGCTACTACGCTGCAGCATATGACTGCAGTACTGACTTTTGGCTCGACCGGGCAATACCACACTCCAAATAAATGCGTGAAAATAACATAATACTACTGTGAGTGCATTGTGAGTGACCGAAGACTCTCAGTCAGGGTATATTTTGCCTACAGTAACGTCATAAATCATAAAAAATAGAAAAGTAAGGAAGGATCGTAATTTTGAACACCTTTTGGTAGTTAGTATTCATTTAACCTCGTGAAATTTCGTATTAGTAACCGAATTCAAAAAGTGTGTAAAGTTTCCAAGAAGTCTATATATACGTTCATTGTTTTCGATACAACACCTTGTTTCAGTGACCGGTTTTATAAGGATTTAAAATAAATGGGTTCAATTGTGTGCGCATATCCTTATCATTTTAGCGTAGCGTCGGGGGAGACATAATTAATAAAATGTATATTTTGTATTAGGTATATTAAGAATTACCTTACCTCCCGCACAACGAAGTAGCGATGTATGTACTTAGCAAAATTCGATCGTTTGACGATTGCTCAACCCTTTCGTATTTCAAGAACTGTTTGAAAAGACAATAAGTTAATGTTTCACTCACTTATAGTGAAAGAAAGCGATATCGTTTTCGATTGACGCTAACTTGTAATTTAGGTTGCCGTAATATTGTAAAATCTGTTATATGTAGTGAGTGGTTGTTTTCAATTTTTCATTGTGAGTTTGGTGTTCGTTTATAGGATATTTTGATTGTTACCAAGCAATCTTTCTGTGAATTATCTATATTTATTTTTAAATACGACTTTAAAATAGTCTTTCTAGGATCGAAAGCCGGTACAAGAAGCAGTTCATAATATATAAATTAACGTATGTAATTCTCTTAGTTTTCTTTATAATATTAAAAACTTTCAAAATTTATCTTTTGAAATGGAATGACAAAAAAAAAGGACTTTGTTCCCATTATTACCACTGCTTTTATTACATTAAAAAACTAATTTAGATTATTCGATATATCGGTAATCGAAATTATTCGATCTTATCGAGATTATTCGAGGTATCGATTTATGTTA